GCATAACACTCTAACTCACCCAAAATTACGCATTTAGCACTACCCATTGTTTTTAACAAACTTAGCTATTTATGCTTGATTTTATGATAATGAGATTTGATCATGAAAGAGATTGATATGAAATGTGTTACTCAATATGCACGCTTAAATTTTTGGCAGTAGAGATTGATCATGTCTGGTCTTCAAAACTTTCTGATAGTGAATTTAGTTCTCGCACATATTGTGGCAGTGTAGAGAGCATATATTGCAGTGTATAATTACCATAAATAATTAAATGTCACGACCTAAAATGAATTGGGCTCTTTCTTTTTGGTGGTGTTGTATGTGTTAGGGCATTAAATTCAATCTCAAAGATATGGTGGCAATGAAGAGCAGAAAATTTAATACTTATACATAATGTGGCAGTGAAGAATGTATATATTGCAGTGTATAATGAACCTAAGGAATTACATTTCACAGCCTAACCCGAAATGAGCTGTGTCAACTTCTATCAACAATTTTTGGCAGTGTCTAATGACCACGTTTGGCTAATGTCTTTTCGTCAAATGTGATTTATATATAAAAAACCCACTATCATATATTATTCATTGAGTTTCATAAATAATGGTTATAAAAGAATCACCAAAATCACTACTCCTAATATAACTTTATCAAACAAAGTATGGAGTGCAAGCATAAACATTTTTGGAAGTGTGGAATGGTCGTGAATTGCGTATAATTTTTGGCAGTGTATTATGTCCAATCACAACACTTCAAATCAAATCCGCCGCCAAATAGTTCACAATTTTACTTTCATCACTAGATGGCCTATCACAATTTCTGACCAAAGTAATAATTAATTGTCCACTAATCCACGGAAACTCTACGACATCCAATAAAACGCCAAACGGAGATTCTCTGAATCTGACTAGTTTTTCAGTAGTCAGAATTTTCTTTATCTGTTTTGCGACCTCATTCACGTTACAATACATGTTAATTCTCCTATCTTGTAGAACACCTTTTGAGGCGACTTCAGCTTCCTACAAGAACAATAGACTAGCAAGGTAAGCTTCAAAAATAGTTCACAATTCAAATCTGCCGCTAAACGTAGCAACACTTTCAAAATCAATTCAAAACAACAATTTAAACCCACTACCAAACAATGCAGTAATTCACTGCTTTAATCAATTACCTATTCTTCTCTAAACACACTACCATCAAGAATTTAAACCCACTAACAACATTCACAAAAAAACTCACAGCCTCAGTAAAAAAATCTAAAAACTCTAAAAACCACACAGCCAAAAAAACAAAAACCCCCCAAAAAAACCAATTACATTTCACCGGAGAACAAAAAACCCAAAAAAACACATCGCCAAAAACTTCACTCGTTTAATCAATTGCCTATTCTTGTTTAAACCCATTGCCATCAATTCACAAAAAACACACTTCCAACAAGAAATTAAACCCACTGCCAACATTCAGTAAAAAAAACCTTAAACGGTTTCAAAAAACCAAAAAAAGAAGATTAGTTTTCACAAATAAAACACACTGCCAACCTAAGGAAAAAACCCCACTGCTAACCGAAGGAAAAAAAATCCCACTGCCAACCAAAGGAAAAAAAACCTCACTGCCAACCTAAGGAATATTGTGAAACAAAAAACCCCACTGCCAACCGAAGGAAAAAACCCCACTGCAAACGGTGCGCCATGAATACTGTGAAACAAAAAACAAGCCAAATCTAATGCCAAAGTTAACAATTCACTGCCAAATTAAACAAAAGTATTGCCGACAAAGTTAGTAATATGCCAAAGTACTACCAATCTTAAAACTATGCCAAAGTAACGAATTCACTGCCAAAATGAAGCATACCTGTATCTTCTCCAATCTTTTGCTAAGAGGAACGCATCATCGCTTGCCATTGAAACCTAGCACTGCGTCTCTTTCCCAAAGCTGCTGCGTTTGGCAGTGTCTAGACGATTGTATTGCGTGAGGCGGCCAATTACTTATTTTTAACCTAATTGAGTATTCAATTTTGGGTGTTTAATTCAGGACAAAATCGGGAATTCATCTCAAAACCTATAGCACTGCTATTTTGAGTATTATTAGGCTATTAAGGTGCTATATCCGTATTTCTCCCTTAACGATTGCCATATATAAGTAAAGGGATCCAAAATAATGTTAGTATTATCCAACATACATAATATAAGTAAGGTGATGAATAATATACTCGTGATCATAATTTTCAAATTTAGTACTATTTAGGATTGTTTTTAATAATATTTTTCGTAAATTTTGTCAATCATCATATGTTAAGGAAATAATCTATTCGTGGAAATCATATCATATCATTCATGGCTATGCATTAATCAATTTCTAACGCACGGCCCCATTAGGATAGTTTCACATTTAATTATTTACTTACCTTTTGTATTTCACGAAGGACTTTATTATGGTGAGAATTCCTTGGTAAAGGATTAATATATGTAGCATGGTACTAAAATTCTATTTAAATTAATTAAAATTATTATAATATTTTTATTTTTTAAATAGTATTTATATTTCTTCATATTTATTTTCAATTTTTTATATTATCATCCTAATTAGAGTTCGTATTGCTGTAATCTGAATACATATATTTACATATAATATTATTGATTATCCAAGATACATAATTAAGGATTGCCATATATAAGTAAAGAGATCGAAAATAATATTAGTATTATCCAAGATACATAATATAAGTAAGGTGATGAATAAAATACTCGTGATCATAATTTACAAATTTAGTATTATTTAGGATTGTTTCTTAATAAGATTTTCCGTAAATTTTGTTAATGAGTATATATAAGTAAGATGATCAATAATATATACTCATAGAAGTAAGACAAATAAGTAAGGAATCAAAAATAGTATTGGAATTTCTATTAGTATAGGTACTCTATTGATTTCAACCTATATATACACGAATTTCCATTAATGAATTCTTGTTACTTATTAATTTAAGTATGAAATTTATAAATATGGAAGTAAGATAAAGGATTAATATATGTAGCATGGTTCTAAAATTCTATTTAAGTTAAATGAAAATTGTTATCTTTCCTTTTTATTTTTTTAAATAGTATTTATATTTTTTCATATTTATTTTTAATTGTTTATATTATCCTCGTAGTAGGAGTTCGTATTTTTGTAATCTAAAAACGTATATTAACATATAATATTATTGATTATCCAAGATACATAATTAAAGATTTCCATATATAAGTAAACGGATCCAAAATAATATTAGTATTATCCAACATACATAATATAAGTAAGGTGATTAGTAATATACTCGTGATCATCATTTTCAAATTTAGTATTATTTAGGATTGTTTTCTTAATAATCTTTTTTGTAAAAAAGAATATTCTAATTTCCATTAATATAGGTACTCTATTGATTTTAACTCTTATTATACACGAATTTCCATAATAAACCTCTGTAACTTATTAATTTAAGTATGTAATTTGTAAATATGGAAATAAGATAAAGGATTAATATATGTAGCATGGTCCTAAAATTCTATTTAAATTAAATGAAAAATGTTATATTTATTTTTTAAATAGTATTTATATTTTTTCATATTTCTTTTTAATTATTTTATATTATTATCATAATAGGAGTTCGTATTGTTGTAATCTGAAGGAAAGAATTTCGTTGAAGCCAGTGATTATCGCATAGAAAATCTGCGGTCAATTGTTTTCAACGGGAGATCCGCTAGTGCATCGTATATAATTTATTTCCACTGATTTACTCGAATATTACGTTGCGTGCTGACATGTTTAAATTTTGCCACATAAACATGCCAAATGTCGAATTTATGTGCATCTAAGTCTCCTTTATTATATTAAAGGATTTGTACCCGGTAATGTTTAAAATTAGTGGAAAAAAATAATACAGGGAGTATTGTAAAAAAAAAATTTTTTGAGTTTTAATTTTGTATAATAGGTTGGAGATGAATTACCGTTTAATTTAATATTTATTGTATTTTGGGTTTGAATTTAGCATATACGATTGGAGATGGTCTTAGTGCATTTTGGGTTTGTATTGCATTTTGAATTTAAATTTAGTGTAACGGTTGGAGATGGTCTTATGATGTATAGCATGATAGACCTAGTTTTCTCAATTGGGTCTAGATTTTGGTTATCCGATCCTAACCGGGACCATATATTTTAACCACAAATCCTGAACAATCCGACCATTGACTATGTTAATGGGCACAATACACAACAATAAGATGGAACCCCTACCTTGAGTGTCCCCGCACCCATGCCCCAAGATTGATAAAGTAGGTAATTAGCTAGATGTACATCAACTGGCCAGAGACAACATGATTTTTGTCATGGTTAATCTCACCTACCAGGAGCCGAACTCAAAGAGACACCTCACGAAATCCAACCCCCACCCTATAGGTCACCTGCAACGCTCACCAACTACCTTTGCCAATTGACCATGCCCCAAGGACAAAACTTTGGTGGGTAAAGTTTTTATACTAGCCGCGGCCCATTGCATTGCGACCCCACCACAAGAAACCCCAACCTCTGGCTTGAACCTACTGACTAGTATAACCGCTTGCCCCTACTCGTTTGGTCATACCCTAACTAGGGCTGGAATTTTTTGAGAGCGTGAGTACTAGTAAAACCTACAAAAATGAGGTCTAAAGGGTTCTTTACTTCTTTTCACCTGATCTGACTTATTCTTATTTAATTGGAATAAGTTATGATCTGATCTAGTCTTATCTGATTCTAATAAGAATAAGTTGAAGAAAACAAGTTCTAACTCTCAAACCCGCACACAACAATAAGTATTACGTGTGTGCAATACTAAGTGTAGAAAGATTGAGAAACTCTAGGGTGCCCCTTACTTGCCCCAAGCACACCAACAACCTCACAGATCTTTGTCTGCGTGTTTAGTACTTTGGCGCACAGTAGCATATCTGAAAAATAAATATGGGCCTATGGCAAGAAAACAATGAAACCATAGGACAACAGAATCTTGATTTCAAAGGTAGACCCCAAAACTGCATTGATGACAAATTGTGACTCTTGATCACGGAAATAAATATTGCTCACACTTAGCTGGAGATACAACACCACAGAGAACAATCAAACCCAACCCTGGGAAAATTTCATCTAAATATTACATGCCAAGCTGGTGCATATTCATATTTCATAGTTAGGAAGGAAAATTTCATCTAATGTTGAGATTTATGCGAGGCAGGCCACAAGGGAAAAATATATACCTGGCATGGGCATCTTACACTTAGCTGGCCAAGCTGTTTACTTTGAAAACCCTACACAGTACAGACAGTCGCCTGAGCCAGTCCCACCTTATCGGTTTGATTCATCCTCAGCTGGCATTATCGTTGCCTTTACTCGCTTACCTTGGCATCCCTGGTATGTAATCTCAAGCACGTAAAATAAAAAAAACTATGAAATGACTAATCCTGAAACAACTAGCTACGAATAGGCCAAACCCAACTAAACCCAATACCAACCTTCTTGTTTAGGAAGGGTTTTCCGAAAATTATGTACTTCAATTAATACTATGATGACACATTATATATTCAAATATTTTAATGTGGCAAACAGGCTGGTCATGTTGAGGTAAGCTATTATTTTCTTAAAATATAAAGTGGTAAAAACCATGTTATCATATTTTTTTCTTCTTAATTCATTTTCAAATATGCATTTTTCTTTTCTAACACGTCTTTTATTAATAGTTTACTGCTTCTTTAGTTCTTTTGAACTTCGTATACTTAATTTTTGGAGTAAATTCCATAAATAGTCCCTGATTGCAAGTGGTTTTCCATATTTAGTCCCCAATTATAAGATATTAAATAAATGGTAATCAATTTTTGAAAAGTATTCCATAATCGATCCTTCGGAAACTATTTGTAGAAAAAATAGTCATAGTTGGCTAAGGACTATTTAAGAAATAGTTTTCAAAAACTGAGGACCATTTATGTAATATCTTATACTTGGAGACTAATGGACGCCTAGGCAAACACCAAATTGTCTAGGCTACTAGAAGGTACTCTGGCGCCTGGCCTTGCCTAGTCGCCCTAAAAACTACGGAAATAATAGCTTTAATGGCAGGAGAAGTATCCAGAGTACTCCATATAATTTAAATCTAGTTGGGCTGCTATTTCCCTACCTTCACTTGTTTGGTATATTGGGTAGGTCTGAACATAATTCCGTGTATATAAAAAAGATGATCATTGCAGAGCAGGCACCGGGTGATTGAAGATGTAGTGGAACTTACCGAAGCCTTTTGACCGGCTGTCGGCCTCCTAGAAGAAGGTGCTCGAGCGACAAATGAAGCTGCTGCTGCTGCTGCAACGCGTATTCTGAAATCATAATAGTTCCAAACAGGCCTTAAAGTACTACCAGGGGGGTTGATGTGCTAAACTAACATAAAATATTCAGTCAATGTTAAAGGATGGAAATGAATGGCAAGCCAGAATACAAAGTCAATCCTTTTACCTTCTATGAACATCAATATAAACATCAGTTTCATCTACAATTTCCTCCTGCACTCAATAAAATACGGTAGACATGAATGAATTATAAAAGGCAGACGAGTAGATCTAAAGTTCTCCAATTTAATAATTTCAGTAATTTACAAACATGGACAGAAAAGGATTACTTGCAGAAGTTCTTCAAAAACATCTTCTAGAGTGATGATTCCAATGACTTCTCCATCGCCAAAATCCTGAGAAAGATCAGTAGAATCTTTTGTCACGGCACCATTTTGCTGCAGAGTGCTTTCCCTACTTGTTGTGTTCTCCAGTGGCCCTTTATAAACATTTATCACAATACTTTCTGGCTTTTCGGTATGCTTCTTCAACAATGGTAATGATAATTGTGATTCTCCATTAATTTCATTCCCAAATTTGGTGTCTCCAAGTTTCTCCCTCTCACGGTTATGGTGAGTCTCATATTTCCTGCACACTTTCACTACAGCTGCCATGTGACTACTGCCCTTCTGAAACTCATTTAGAATATCATACAAGGGCATATCTGCTGGTACCCTGGAACATTGGTGTGCAATAATTTCTTTGGACTACTTCTGAACCTTCTTGACAAATAAAAAGGTAGAAAGAAATGGGTATGTGACAAACCTAGGCATCCTCCTGATGGAAACGGCACTAACCGGAGTCTCTGTTTCTGCCCGTACAGTAAGCAGACTTTTCACCTGTATTGCACAAGAAAAAGAAACTCAAAACAGAAAATTAATCCTCCGATATGTAATTTTAAAACATCATCACATATGCCATGGAATCATAATCTTTGAATCTCATACAGACCAGTAGAAGTCCAATAATATTCTTCGGATTCCCCGAATAAACAGGAACACGACTATGACCTCTGGCAAGAATTTTCCCTATTACTTCCCTGTCCATGTGCAAGGTAATGTTAAATAGGTGGTTCTAGACTTCCAAAAAAACTAGCTCAGGCAACAGGCAAAGGAAAACAAGAGTACTTAATGTGATGATTTTCAACTTATTCAGAATTTTGTCTAACTATAGTGTCGGCTGTCAATGAACTGGTCTTACCCTTATCATATAGTTCAGAATGTTGGGCTATTAAGACGAATCTAATGAAGAGGATAAGTGAAGCACAAATACCTAATTAAGATGGATGCCCTGTAAGGGTAGAAAATACAGTGTTTGTAGATTCACACAAAGTGGGATTAGTTAATTAAGTTTCTATTGAATGTGAGGCAAGTATGGATTGACTGTTAGTTTGGACACATTGTTGTGGAGATGCAAGTGCTCCTGTACAAAACAAAAAAATTTGAGTAATGAAACACTGAAGTTTTACAACACAGAAGAGACACCAAAAACAACATGAATTGAGAATTTGCTCCGGTACAAAAACAATGGAGTATTGAAACACGGGAGTTTTATAAAACATAAGAGAGACCGAAAACAACATGAATTGAGAATTTAAAAAATGACAATGAGAGGGAGAATAACTCACCAGTTCAACTTTGAATTGACATCAAGGGAAAAGGTAGACTCAATGGGAGTCATAGCTTCCTCTGCAGTCTACACATATTTTAGATTACAGAGGGTCACAATTCATCTTCTGGAGTATGCACTATGGAGGGATTCCACAGAGGCAATTGAAAATTGGGGAGGAAATATAAGAGCAAATAATTGGAGCCTGCTGGCGCTTTCATGAATTTCAAATTGTTTACAGCACTGGCACAAAAGGTCTATATAGATTCATTTTTTTATTCTTTTAAGCATTAGATTATCAAATCAAATAACTTTTCAGTAGAAGGCCTGGAATCACCCATATTAGACGTGTGGGAGAGAGAGAGAGTTCTGAGAGAAACTAAACTTCCAAGTACTGTATTGTTATTACAATGCGGCCGCGGCTTACCTTTTCAGTCAAATCGAGTGCTCCACTGATGATGGTAGCTTCATCATGTGTTAATTCACCGCCTTTTCCGGCCTAAATGAAAGAAGAATTCAGTGATTATTTTATGAGAGCAGCTAAGATACAGCACGAAAGTATTACAATAATGCTTAATTTCATCATCATAGGGTAAAGGACCAATCCATTTAATACCATGATTCATCAACTATCAGTGAAATGTTTTTCAACAGTATTTAACTTTAACGGTGAACGAAATTTACCTCCTGGCTGTGGATAGAAACAAGGGCTTTAAGTTGAGCACGCCGGAACAAAGAATCCCCATGTCCCAATACTAAGTCAAGAACCTGAATCACCACATCAGTATTGCATAGACGGACACATATTACAAGCATTTGCAAAAAAAGCAATGCATTCTAGACTGCATGGAATTCATATTTACACCCCATAAAGGTATATGGTAGACAGCTTAATTTACCGAAAAATTGGACAATGCATATTGAAAGTGTGTTCTCTTATCTTTAAGACAAGAATCAATGAATAACAAACACAACAACCCAGTTGGATCTCACACAAGTAGGGTCTGGGGAGGGTGTGTGTACGCAGACCTTGCCCCTACTCAAAAGTAGAGAGGTTGTTTAAGTGCATTATAATGATCATTATTTTCCTCTACATTTTTTTTGCAACATAAAGTGCAACTTTCACAAGAATCAATGTGTTTTTAAAACTAAATCCAAAATATTGAAATGGCCATTCATGTCCTCCACAATATGCAAAATGCGGTGAACTACAAAATATGAGGAAACCCCTTTTCATGGAGTTCTAAAGAAACGCAAAACCAGCACATTATTCTGCACCTTCCATATTGTAGGAAGAGATGCATGAAATTTACCTTTCCAATTGGGTAAGCAATCGGAAAGCAGATAATCATCAAAATACGCACAAGCCACACAAAACTTGCACCAACAGCAAGTCCATATCTAGAGCATACTGCCTGTGGAATAATCTGGAGCATAAGATTAAAAAAAATGTTAGTATGGTTTTGGAAGGATATATCTTTTCTTTCATGAGCGGAGGAAAGTAATCAATAAATACAGTACCTCACCAAAGGCTAAAACAAGAGTTACAGAGAGAACAACAGCAACTACCGGATGAAAAAGTTTGTCCAAGTATATGGGAAGAGCCTGTGGTTCACACGAGAATGGAAATTCCATTAGCAAATCTTTGATTCAGTTGTGACATTCAAGCTAATTACTTTATTTGGGTAAGTCTCTATAATCTCTCTAGTATGGTTATATAAAATTATCAGTATTGCCAAATTTAAAATCATGATCTAATTTCTTCCACGGTAATTCAGTATGAAAAATGAAAAATCTCAATTCATTAAGCCACATTAATGCTGTTCCTGAACCATAAGTTATTTAATTTAATAAAGATATAGCAATACCTCCATGGAAGCAGCATTACACAAAAGCAAGGTAACAAGAAGCTGGTGCTGTTTTTTAACTACGGGCAGAATGGTTGCTGGAAACAAAAAGATTAATCATTAATCACAAGAGGTACTTGGAAGACATAATAGAGAGCAAATTGCAGTTGTTCAAGAATGGCATACTCAAACATGAGTTATGTTGGCACAACCTGACAACCAAACAAATTGGTTAGGCTTTTGAGCCCCAATCGATGATCAAATCCTAAAAAACTCAATAAACATTTTCCTTGGTTTGAGCGGATGACTGATTATCAGTCGGAACCAGCACATACTATGATACCACAAGCTAAAGTCCTAGCTCTCAATTGTGCAAAATTGAACAAACGGAGCTCCATCCATTAAAATTAACGTTGTATTTTGTTTTCAAATATTTAGGACCGGAGAAAGAAGCAACAGTGTGAGACAAATACGAGTAGATATGGGGAGCAAAAACTGCTAGTAAGAGAGAAGAACCAGCTTGCTTCTTCTCGGAAGAGGTTCCGCTGCGCCGGAGAACTTCGAGGTCGACGGGACCGAGAGACATCAAGCCCAAGGTGAGGCCGGACATGATGCCGGCGAAGAGTACGAGGAAGCAGGAAACGCCCGCGTAGACGAACCACCACGGGTTGCCTAACTCGATGTCCTGCGAATCAACCGTGGAAATGCCCTTGGAGGCGGCGCTAGCGGCCAAGGTTATGGCAATGGCGTTTGCCAGCATCCCCATGGAGGAGAGGAGAGAGTCCTGAGTGCAGTGGCTGCTAATAGGAGAAGTCTGTCCTCTTTCTTCTTTCTGCTTCCCTCCAGTCGTCTTTTTATTATTACCCTGGGTTCTAGTGACACGGAAAAAACTGTCCTTTTTATTGACTGTTACTACCCCTAACACACCCCCTAAACCCCCACCCTACCCACACCCCTGCACCCCCACCCCAACCCCGCCGCAAATCCTCCACAAAATGTGTGACTATTATTTTTATTTTCATAATTTTAATTACTCCGTATATGATAATTATTGATTTCAAAATAAAAATATATTGTACGGAGTATTTTATTTGTGGGTGCCGTTCTTTTAAAGGGGAAAATACAAAACATATTTTGATATTCCACATAATGAGATATTTGATCGATATAATCAAACACTCTCTCCGTCCTAAAACCATCTTCCCACTTCCATTTTTTCTCCTTCCTAAAACTACCTTCCCACTCCCAAAAAAAATGTATAATGACTATTATAACCTTGCAATATTCACTCTCCACGCCTCAACCATCCTCTGTATCTCCTCTCTCAATCCACCTTCTCTCCATTTATTTCTCTTTACTCTCCAAAAGCAGTACCCTAGATATGTTTCCGCTCGTCGGCGGATGTGCTGTCTCCCCTCTCCCAATTTACCCTTTCTCTCTTTGTCTATCTTCCCCCTCCCTATAAAATCGTAGATCTGTGTCCGACGGTGCTCGCCGGCGGCTGTGCGGTGGCTGCTTAAGGCACGGCTCGCCGGAGCCAAGATTGTTGTGCTCGCCAGCGGCTTTGGTGTCTTCACACGACGGTGATAGAGACGTAATCCAAGGCAATGAAAACCTAAATTCTCCTATCTCTTTAATTCTTTCTTCAATCCAAAATGGTTTCCTTGTGCGTCATACCAACAATTGCGGTCGTCCTCTCTTCCGCTAGGCAAGTCCATCAATCTGACATATTTTCATATAATTTGTGTTTGAAGAACTCGTACGAAATCCTTATTTTCGTAGCAGCGCCTCTCCTTCCAAGCTTGATGAAGGGGCATTATTGGAAGTCAAAGCCATATTTAACTCTCCCTTAAAAATGGACTTCGGTCAATCCGCGAAGATCATTCTAGGACGGAGGGAGTATTTGATTAGTAAAGAATATCTGTCTTGTTGTGTTGGTTGAGGACATTACATTAGTCCTTTTCTTTTGTCCCTAAGTAATTTCCTAGAAATTCCATAAAGAAATGTATTATAAAATGAGAAAATCCATCCCCATTTTTAATACTCTAATTTTGAAAATCTCAAAGCAAGAGAAAATAAAATTTATTTTGTGTTCAAAGTCATTTTTCTAAAGTGTTAGAAATATACACCAAATATTATAAAGAAATATTTATAAGATAAATATTTTTACTATATACTTATTACTCCCCAAAGTAGTGATATTATAGTTTTGACTATCCTATATTAAACTTCCTAGCACAAGTTTAATCTAGGACTCTGGAGCAAGTTCGTGTAGATACGTTGGAAGCTTCATACGTTTGGCGCTACGTTCATCTCCTCAAAACCATCCCTGACCGTTTCTCCGTTCTCTATTTTCACCGTTAAGGTACACTTTCTTACTATAGCTAGTAATTTACGTAAGTTGTTTTTCGGTGGAATCGAGATTTGGACTCTAAATTTTTGTTTTCCACTGTGTTATCCAAGCCTCGTTTCCCAACAACACATTGCACTTGATTTTCACTTTGTCCAGGACCTAGTACAATCTCGGTTTCACATGTGGCTGGTGCTGGTCAGATAGCTCATGTGTTGACGAAGCTTTTATCTTGTGTTCCATTTCTTTGTGCTGTGACAAGATTAGACTTTCCTCTTACTGTCCATCTTGCAGGGGCGTATAGGAGTTACATCAGTTTTGAAGTTCTTTTATCTTTTTTGCATTTATTGTACTCTTTTGGAATCCTCACTATAGTTGTATAAGTAGCTACTGTTGCTTAATAAAAATGTGTGCAACTATTCAGATTAAGATGTAGTTGGGACTAGACCAAAGCCTGAGGGGACCCTATAATAAGGTTCATCCTTTTTTCTACTTTACCCAATCTACCCTGGGTATTCGACCTGCCCCAAAAAGACTTGCCCATAAAAATAAGGACTTAGGCTTGAGTTTTAGTGTTTAGATTGTGTCGTAAATTACGGAGCCCACAAGTATTGAGGGCGAGGTATAGTTAGTAGTGTTATTGGAGCTTCTGGCTTACGAGTTAGTGCTTGAAAATGGAAGGAACTAAACTTCTGTGGTGTTTGTTTGGCCATCAAGCCAAATCCATCATGGAAGAGGTTCATGATCGTATATGTGAATCACATTAGGACCTTAAAATATGGCTCGGATGATCATGTTGTTGAGGTGTTTTTTGCCAAGGATGATGAGGAATTGAACCGAGAGTGCAAAAAGTGTGTAGTGTGCTAATAATTTCATTTTGTCCATTGGCGACCACAAATGAACTATATGCTAATGGCCTTGGCTATCCCTTTTGTACAATTGGGGAATAGACCTAGTGCCCTAGTTGGAAGTCTACCAAAATTCCGGGGGGAACTTGTGATGGATCATAGTGGTCTCTTGTGGGAGAAAAATCTTGTTTGTTGACACTGCACGTAAGGCAGTTTTTACAAAAATTAGTTGTATCCCTAAACACAGTTAGTCATAAAAAATTAGATTCTAGAATTTTATGCACAGTTCTTGTAACTCCTAAACCCGTATAACTTGACATTATATGAATCAAGGTGAAATGAGGCTAATTTTTTCAAGCATGTCCAAAGCAACACAAAACTCAATAAAATAAAACTAGAAGGCATCAAGTGCCAAAACTTTGTTGAAAAATTAATCCTAAAAACATATTTGAAATGTGGAAGTAAAACATTACATAATTAAACAAATTAGGTCACACCCGAAATAACACAATGCATACAATATGTGAAAATCATGGCTAGCAACCAACCATTTTATCATCTTATCATCCCCTGGATTGGGTCACATAAATCTTACTTCGTACCTACATGTAGAAAATAAAAAAATTACACGCTCAACAATGGCATTGAGTGGTATAATAACGCTAGAAGTCATTAATACATTCATTGAGGAATACAATGCAGAACCTTGTTTATATATTAATCACTTTAGCAATTGAATTATATCGTGAACGACTAGGCATGTGTATTTGTAACACCCTGGAAACCGGCTTAGTAGTTAGCCGTTATTTTAGGAAACACAAATAAAAAAATTTTATTTTCTAACTCAAAATATGAAGTATTTGTAAAGTCAACCTTTTTATTTAAAAATTGGGTTTCTGGGTAGATCTCATAAAATGGTGACCAACGACTTATAGTTTGTTAAGTTTGGACTTACATGTAAAGTGTGATGAGTAAAATAGATGTTATAGTTCAATAAATAAATATAAAGACTTATAATATAAAATAATATATATAAATCCTAAGCCTGTTAGAATAAAGTCTCAACGCTAGAGGTGGGTGAATAGCGTTTGAAACAAATCGCGAGAATTTAAAAATAATGTAAACAAAAATTATAGAGCGTAAAGAAAGGCACACTGAGATTTATAATGGTTCACCAAAATGTGTGGCTAATCCAGTTCAACGAGAGACTCTCTCAAAGGTCTTACTAACCCTGTTAAGCTTACGAGTGATTAACAAACCAGTACAATGATCCTCAACGATGCTTGCTCGGACATACAACACTCCAAGACTTCAACCCGAAAGAATATACTCTTCCTTTGTACAACCAAGGGAACAAGTGTAACACCCCAGCCCGCGTAACCCAAATAAAGAGGTTAGCGAACTGGGTTGCTACTAAATTGGTATCCACACACAATATTTCTCAAGAAATAAAAACATTTACTTTAACTCAAACCATTTAAATACATATCGGAGTTTATACAAACAGTATGGAAGCTTTATAATTTAATCAAACATTCTTAATTCCCTGCATGTATACATCTCCTCCTTCATACTGCCCTCTAGGATATATTCCAATGTCAGTCTCTCCATGATTACTTACGTGCAACAAGGGAAAAAAAGAGGCTACACACTCAGCAACGAAGCTGAGGGAGAAATATCTAACAGTTCGAACATACACATAGGCGAATCCACTAATTCATAATCATAACCCGATATCATGCACACAGGTTTAATATCATTTAGTTCACATAAACAGTTCATCACATAATTTACCTGGCACCTTCCCTATTCCATTCTCATCAAATCAGAGCATTTTATGTAGTGGTGGATCACCATTAATCTGTACTTGTACTCTACACCGGACTAAGGACTTTCTACTTTTCTTGGAGTCATTGATTGTTCCCACCGGATCAGCGGGTCATGCTTAACTAACGAGGGTGATCCCCGTTTGGTGGGTGGAATCCCCACCTAATTGATCGTCAGGCAGTTCAAGGAAACTCGTACGTACGTTTTTACCTGGTTTAGTTAACCATTGGAGCCCAGCAGGCATCCACCAGGTTTATACTCTTGCTTTCGTAATAGTAGTACTTGAGTCAGTCCTAGAGTTCCTCTCGGTAGACTTACCATGGCTCATGGTGTTGGATCAACACCCATGTAACATGTGCTTCGCAAGCTGGATCGGCCCGCTCTTATCATTGGATTCGAGGTTGGATCACCATAATAATATAACTTCACATATGTGTTTGATCAACACAGAGAAATCAATAACATAACATGTAATGGCCTATTATTGGGTGTTGACACCCAAACTTACTGTCATACAACAGATAAAGCCTTAGAATAAATCCTTGACGAAACACAGATCAACAGACCCGGTATCATGTACGAGACGGTACAGTTCACGGTATGGAGTACCGTCCTTATGGTACCGGGGTACCAGTCCTACGGTAATGGAATACCGTGTGAACTAACTAAACCCAACTGATAGGCCTGTCATGGTAGCCTCTATCGACCCGGCGGTAGGGCCTACCGTCCGTCTGGTACCTAGGTACCTAACAATCATAGCTAACGGCAGAGGGGGAAGAACAAACAAAGCGTGACGGTAGCACGGTATCGTTCTGGCAGTGCCACCTACCATCCGACGCAACAAATTCCAGCTTCATACCTGTTTTTTTTCAGCATCATACAAACATTTAACATTGAAAATTCCATATAGATATGTTCTTACTTAAGTTCCAAATCTGACTCAATTCATCCGTCAATGAATCCAAACAGAACATAACAATTCATCAAACATATATTCAATAATCAATTAATGCCTAAATCATGCGTTCTACCTTTTTTAATCAATATAATCCCTAGAACCACAATCAAGGAATTCAACAAAGTATTCCATACAAATCAATCATGATAATAATTATGAATAGAATTTCAATCATATATGCATATTCTAGCGTTAGGTGTCCACGTACTCACCTCGGTTCTTTTGTCGTATTCCTACGAACATTACCGGAAGACGATCATCAGAAAAAGTCTCTACAGTCTAAGGCTGTCACGAGTGCCCGATCTCGTTGTCAGCCTCTTAGGAACACCCAATGCAATCTGGGCATAATTGCCGCTGCCAAGACTAGCTCGTTGCTGCATAAGCCTACTCAAACCCTATCGATCAGTACCCCGACGTCACCGCGGTTGATGGAGGTCGTTCACAGAAGCATCTTCGTCGTGGACAATGTCAACTCGCCACCAGGGCTTCGTTGGAATCTAACTTCACCGCTGCTGTTAAGACCTGCCTGCTGCTCCAAGAGGTCACTACTAGTTGCCAACGTCGTTAGGAGGATGTGTCGTTGTTGATTGCGAGTCGGAGAAGAGCCATGCTCCTGGTCACCAGAGAGTGGAGGGTGGCTGCGCTTTCTCGTCCTATCATCGTCCGTCAAAATCACCACCATTGCCTGAATCTTGCTAGGGTCAGCATCGATCGTTGGTGGAGAAGACCAGAGGAACATCAATTTGCCTTGGTCACCGTCACCCGATAGTGTCGTGGCGTAGGGGCGAAAAATGATTTATATATATCCTAGGGTTTTGTACTGTGTAACTTAAATGAATGTGTCTGAGTAAAAACACACTTTTCGGGCTAACTTGCTCTGAATTGATATCTGTTCGCGTCGTAGGATTCGATTCATCAATCCTAGACCTGGAAATTGTTAGACGCCTCGCACACCTCTAGAGGGGGGGGTGAATAGAGGTGTTGCCCAAAAGACCAGTTTTTTTTGCGCGGAAACGTTCTTCACGAATATTCAATAAAATCAATGCACCACAAACAAAGTAAAGTGAAGGATAAGAGCAATGCACACACGATATATACTGGTTTGGCCTAAATGCCTACATCCAGTCCCCGAAGCAATCGTGCCCTGGCCTTCACTAACCCGTCAAACTTAACGGAGTTTGACAATCCGAATACAACTCGAGAACTTGATTTCACAAGCCTCTTATCTTACCACCGAAGTTTTGATTTCACAAAACTCGGGATTTCTTCCACCTAACGTTTGATTTCACAAACCGTTAGGATTTCTACCACTTGGTGTAATCCCAACACCAAGAATACAAATCCCTTACAATAAAGTAAGAAAACAAACCNCAATCGTGCCCAGGCCTTCACTAACCCGTCAAACTTAACGGAGTTTGACAATCCGAATACAACTCGAGAACTTGATTTCACAAGCCTCTTATCTTACCACCGAAGTTTTGATTTCACAAAACTCGGGATTTCTTCCACCTAACGTTTGATTTCACAAACCGTTAGGATTTCTACCACTTGGTGTAATCCCAACACCAAGAATACAAATCCCTTACAATAAAGTAAGAAAACAAACCACAACCGAGTAATTCTCCCAACACGGAGTAGATTGTTGCAAATACAATGAAGTCCTTTAGAATATGGCAATATCTCTCAAAGACTCAACTAATGAGGAAAAACTCAAGCAAGAAATGATTTTGCAATCAAAACAATTGCCTTGCTTGGATATAAGGAGGGGATTGAGTAGAATCTCTTTGGATATTCAAAGGACATGTTCTTCAAAGTGTTCTAAGTGCTCTTCGGAAGATAATCTTGAAAGTAGATAGTTTATAGAAGTTGGGGAGTGGATAGGGATGAAAAGGATTCAAAAAACTAGCCGTTTGGTAGTTGAAACTGTCGACTTATTCTAATAACTCAAGAACTATTCGAATAGTTTGGATCAATCGCGTGGCTTGAAAAAACCAGTTCCTATTCGAATAAATGGTGATTTATTCGAATAAATCAGGTTGAAAAACCAAAACTTATTCGAATAAGTGGTGATTTATTCGAATAAATCAGGTTGATTTTAGCAACAGGAAAGATCACGACTTATTCGAATAAACTAAAGATTATTCGAATAGAAACACAACTTCCCCACACAAAGGCTGATCTAAAATGAGTTTTAAAGGTAAGATGATAAGGGAATGAACCTTAGAGATGCCATACTCTTTAACACATAATTTAAGACCTAAAACACTACCCAACTAAGGAAACAACCTCTTCAGTCTCGTTCCTTCCACTGATGCTCAAGTCCCTTCTTCACGGATGGATATGAACTTGTTGTAGCTTTGATTCTTAGCCTTGATGCACAAAATAATGATGATATTTTGTCACTCTTTTGTCATTATCAAAACCTAAAAGACAATGGGCAAAGGACATTGCAAAAATATATATGCATGATAGCACATTGTCCAATAGAAATTGGGTCAATCAGTTCCGATTCGGGTCTCATTCGGATATATGTTATAATCGGTTCAGGTCGGTTTGAGTCAGTTTAGTTTTGGTTTTGTTTCGGTTTGACTGGTTTTCGATTTTGGTTCGGTTTCGGTTTGGGTTTGTATCGGTTCGGGTTTGTATCGGATCGTGTTTATATCGGTTCGGGTTTGTATCAGTCCGGGTTTGTATCGGTTCGTGTTTATATCGATTCGGGTTTGTATGAATTTAGGTTTATATTAGTTTAGATATACTTTAAATATTTATTAATAAATCAATAATATCACATAATAAATTTAATAAATTTATGATATACTCCGTAGTTATTTCATTATTTAACACAGGCGTACATAAAATTTTATCAATTTCGGGTCTAATCGGTTCCGGGTTTAACCGAGTTCGGGTTTAATCGGATTCGGATTTAAATCGGGTCTGAATACATTCTTTTCGGCTTCAATTCGGATCATTTCAGGTGTTTTATTCTATTTTGGTTCTTCAGTTTTCGGGTCAAATCAGGTCGGTTTCGGGTTATTCGGTTCGGGTTATCAGGTCCGGGTCAGTTTTGCCAGGTCTAATCGATCCTTACACAACAATCTAACTTTTAGAATCAAACGACAAACATTTATAAGTTCCACTCTGCCCACGTTAATTCTTTCGATTAATTAGTATCATTTAGTCTTTTAATATTTTTTTTAATATAAAAAAGGGATTGATCATTTTTTATTTGATAATGACAAATAGAATAGAGAATTCAAGTAGTCTTTTAATTTAAATCCTTAATATTTACATCAGATCAGTCACGATACATTGGGACTATTAGAATCTCCAAATTATTTTTTAATTCTTTCAAAGAATAGATTTTTGTAAATAAATAATTCTTATTTATTTGATTAGCAAATAACTTCCAGACCGGTTCTCAGGGCATTACATTTCTTCCTCCCTTAAAGGAATTTCATCTTCGAAATTCTCCCAAGGTTCGAAGTTCAATAATTTAGTTTCACATTTGCATTACGATCATGGTTAGGTGAATGGCCACTCCATTCCCATATAAACTCTCTTCGTTTATCGTGCGAGGTATTATCTTAGGAGTTTTGTATGTGTTTCGTTCAAGACATACGACAAGTTCGTCGAATTCATAATTCGATCTTTCCTGAGTTTAATTTCAACGGACATAAATGGAGTACCTGCATAGTGCGTAGAAACAATATTTAAGTTTTCAAATATCATAGCATCAATTATTTTGTCGATTGATCAGTTTGTATTCGAAGTTCGTTTGTTTCGTTACTTATGGCGTCAGCATAAGATCTTTCTGGGATTTCTCATCTACTAACAGGATTGTGGTAACGTTCACGCTTTTCATGTGGTCGACAATTAAGTTCAGGAAAGTTTGTTTCGTCATTAGGCTCTTCAAGCGTTAAAAGTCGTTTCGTAAGTCTGTCTCGAGTTGTTCTTGTCCCTATCACGTTATCACGTCACGATTTCTATAGCATATCGTCAAGGTGAATTTCATGGCATTGCCAATTCATACTTGGATTCCTCTTGAGTTGAGTCAACTACTGATGTCCATAGTCAACTACTGATGTCCATATATAACGGATTATTATTCGGTTATTATTCGTGTTCGACAATGTTTCCACGTCAATAACGTATTGGTTCATTTTGCTTAGTCTATAATAGGATACATTGCTAGTAGCAATCAATTTGATCATCTATTTATCAACGGTTCCCTTTCTGAACAGAAAGAAGATTCTTCACCACGTAGTTCGTCCACGATCTTCAATAATGTCGAGGTATTTAGGACATACAGAGTTTTGTTTTAGGAATTCAGTTAATACAAAATTTGCGAGTTTATTCATAGGTGAGCCCTAGTTCATCGTGATACAAAATTTGCGTTTTTCAGTTCTAAGGCATCAGTGATTATCGATATACAGTCTCGTCAGGTGAGCCCTAGTTCATCGTGCCCTAAGAGCGTGGCGTATGCCCTCCCTTGTTCGTGTAAATCGTGAGGTGTTATTCACCTGATTCTTCTCAACGATTCTTCATGTTCAGGTCTATGTTGTGACACGAGTTTAGTCCTTCGAATAAAGCGTCTACGTGAGGTTGTGTCATGCACATTCATGGTGTTGATGTTTGATTCAGCTTGTACCCTTGATATGCCGTTCTTGGTCGGCATACTCAATGTAGTTTGGCGTTCAGGATTATCGCTATTACCCCCTTTCGGGCAATTCGCAGCTACATCATGGTTCTACATTATTGGCGCACACTCAGAGGTTTGACCTCTAGTTTCAGGTGGCATTTAACTTTGTGACACAACATTAATAGTAACGTATTCGACATTAAGTGCATTCATCGATCTCGGAGTAGGTTGGCCCCTTCGCGAGTTATGACCTAAGATTCTCAAATGGCATAGTCGAGATATGGTTGTTTATCTTGATTCCATGAAGTTATTTCATAAACAGTTCCTTGAGTCATACTAATGAGAGTAAATGGGGTGCTCTACTATCGGCGTCACCAACGCCTACTACTTAGACTTTGTAACGGGTCGGAAGCCTTTCAACGTTGAGTTGCTTAGTGATAACCACATATCCACTTGTCGATGTGCTGACTCCTTTTGAGTCCACTTCATTCAGTTCATCTTGTCAGCAAGGTACGTTGGCACGTAACCTCTTTCTAAATAGATAATTCATTACGTTCTTTTGGTTTGTATCCAGCCACAACAATACAGCTGATGTGCCAAGAATAAGTACTACTTTCTTTAAAAATCAAACAAGTTTTTCTTGTCTTTTATACGGGCATTCCTATTTGATACCAAAATAAGATTCTCTCATCCATCGGGGTCTGCAGCCCTTACAAAATTTAGTTATCTGTTCCGGTGATCAAAGAGATAACTAAATATCAGACAAGATATGTTACTGTGCGTACATGGTTACACTATTTTCCTTTGTTACATAACATCTCATTGTTAAGGTTTATGCTAACATTCACCTTACAGTAAGTGGGTTTCATCTACAGGATGTGAATTCCTATCTTAGACTATAGCATTTCAGTATGCACAATAGTCAATAACTCACAGCTCAACACAGACATTCCAACAGTAAACTTCACAGAGACATTCAAGTAATCAGTTTCATACAAATGTTTGAGCAATCAGTTCAGCACAACTATTCAAACAATCAGTTCCATACAAATATTTGGGCAATCGGATCCAAACTATTATTTGAGCAATTAGCTCGGTTCAAACAACTTGGACAATCAGCTCCACACAAACTTTAAGCAATAAGATAATAATTTTACCATTCGGGAAGCAAATATGACATGAAGGTTGCGGATGGAGTACTTAATTGGAAATAACTTTTGCCATTGTTATTATTATCTAAATAATACTATCTCCACTTATTTATTTCTAAAATAGTACTTTGCAATGGTTTGAAAACCGATTTTAAAACCATATGCTCCGATACCAAAATGTAATACCCCAACATGCGTAATCCGAATAAGAGGTTAGCGAACCAGGTTGCTACTAAATTGGTATCCACATACAATATTTCTCAAGAACTAAAAAAATTTACTTTAACTCAAACAATTTAAATACATATCAGAATTTATACAAACAGTGCGGAAGCTTTATAATTTAATCAAACATTCTTATTTCCCTGCATCCGTACATCTCCTCCGTCATGCTGTCCTCCAGGATATATTCCAATGTCAGCCCCTCCATGATTACATATTTGTAACAAGGGAAAAAAAGAGGCTACACGCTTAGCAAAGAAGCTGAGTGAGAAATATCAAACAGTTCGAACATACACATAAGCGAATCCACTAATGCATGATCATAACATGATATCATGCACATAGGTTTAATATCGTGTTGTTCACGTAAACAGTTCATCACATAATTTACCCGGCACCTGACCTTTTCCATTCTTATCAAATAAGATCATTTCTTGTAGTGGTGGATCAGCATTTAAGTGTACTTGTACTCAACAATGGACTAAGGACTTTCTACTTTTCTTGGAGTCATGATTGTTCCCACTAGATGAGCGAGTCATACTCAAGC